TACATTTACATAATATTTTACTGGCCTACTTTTAAGACTTAAATACATCTGTTTAAAAGGGACACAGTATATCATGGTATTGCTTTACGAGTTTTTCACTAATAAACATTACGATAAATACCTAAGTGTTGAAACAAACAACAGTCACCCTTTTCTCCCCAAAGCATCATCTGCTATACCCAGGGAGGATGGGTACCGCACTTGGAGCATCCATGAACAAAGACAAGGATCAGGGAGAACATGGGGGTGGGGTGCTGGAGGCAGAGCCATCAAGAGGCTGTGTGGCTGAAGGACCAATCCAGGCAGAACCTGACCAGGCTGACTCGGGAGTCCAGGCGGGCGGAATCAGCTCAGAGTTGGGATGGAGAGGCTGAGAAGGGTTGTGCTACGAGCAGCTCACAAGGCAGGGGAAAACCCAAGCCTCTTTCTTGTGGCTCAGGTTGTCCTTTGAAGGTCTTATTTTAAAGAGTAGCTATAAACCTCAACTCCAGGAAACCTCAAGGAGGATGATCTCCAACAGAAAAGGCACTTTGAAGTGAGAGACCATGGCGCTGACATCGAGATGCCCTTGGGGTCGTCACTGTCACGTAACCTTCTGTGTCCTCGAGCATTCTGCTTGGACATCTGTCAAGAGACCCAGGACAGGACCAGAGGTTGTGGGTCATGACTCTTTGGGCCCACTTCCCTCTCGAGCAAGGCTTTTCAGATTGGCATGATTGATACTTAGGGCCAGATAAGTCTTTTCTTGGGGAGCTGTCTTGTGTAGTGTGGGATTTTAACAGCATCCTTGGCCTTTGCCAAAGAGGTGCCAGGAACATCATCTCAGTTATGACAACCAAAAATATCTCCAGGCACTGACCAAGGTTCCTTGGAGGAAGAGAATGTTACTAGGCTTGCTTTTGGAGAAGGAGCGAGTCCTGGTGGCCACAGCAGTTGAGGCTAAAGCTGGACCCACAGGAGAAGGAAGCTTCCTCTGTGGAGCCAGTGCCACTCAATTGCAAAACCTAAGGTGGGGAGCAGTTTTGTCATCATGTGTGTCACTGAAAGGGTTCCTCTCTGATTCCCTGCACTTGCTTTTTATTTACTCACTGACATCTGAGGAAGAACACTGCACGGAGGGTCACATGCTTGCAGCACTCCAGGCGTGACCTAATGTCTCCCTGCTGAGGCCTGTCTTGTGGAGAAGGCAGCCAGTAGGAGGAGAAAAGACCTTTGTTTTGGTCTCAGAACAGCTATGGGAACACTCAGGGCAACTACCCAGCATGGTGGCAGATTCACACACACTTTCCAGGCCCTAGAACCTGGCCAACCTGTTCTTTGACTCATAAAAATAATTATAGCAAAGCATTACTGAGCACCTACTGTGTACCCGTGCGCACATGTATCTAATCCTCACAACAATCCATTATCCCCTATTTACGAGATGAGAAAATTGAACTCTGTAGGACTAGGCAACTTGCACAACGTGGCTTCGTCACTGAGTACAAGGCAACCGACAGTGCAGACGGAGCCGGTGAGGCGCAGCACACCTCTGATACCAGCACTCGGGAAGCCTAAGGCAAGACGATCTCAAATTTGAACCTAGCCTGGGCAACTTAGTCATTCAAGGAGACCCTGTCTCAAAAGAAAAAATTAGACTGGCATGGTGGTGCAGCTTTTAATCCTAGCACTCGGGAGGCCGAGGCAAGAGGATCATTGTAAGTTGAAGTCCCGCCTGAATTGCATCGTAAGACCCCATCTCCAAATAAATAAATAAATAAATAAATAAATAGGCTGGGGCAGTAACTCAGTGTGAAGATCCAAGGTGCAATCCACAGTACTGAAAACAAACAAAGCAGTTCAGAGGGCTGACACACCTTCAAGTCCACTTGATTCCAAGGCCTTTGTTAGTTCTCTCAGGTCACGCTGCAAATTCTTCCCAGTGGCACAGTGCTTGTGAAAGGACAGAGCTGCACTTGCACTGGGGGTTCGGGAAGAGCCACAGTCTCGAGCTTTTTGGCTGTCATTGCAGGTGCCGGAGCATAAAACCACTTGCACAAAACTCTGACACCCACTCCCTCTGATTTGCTGAACCTTGTAAAACAAAGCTAAACACAAAAACACCACACAATTGTATATCTCAGCCCATGGTGGAGGCGCACAGCACCCTTTTGACTGTTAGCAAGGGCACAGAACTTGCCCGCTGCCCTAGAGGGTGCCCACAGCTCCCATCCCAATCGTAGGCCCAGGCCGCCCTGCAAACGTAGCCACAGTTCACTTCTGGAGTCCCGGATGCCCTGCATTTATGAGCTGACTGGCACATCCAAGCTCTGCAAGAATCCTTCTAGGGCCTTCGCACTGAGCTGCATTGCCAGCCTTTTAATTTTTTTTCCCCTTTATTTTGAGACAGGGACTTGCTAACTCACTAAGTTGCCCAGAGTGGGCTTCAGCATGTGGTCCTCCTGCCTCAGCCTCCCAGAATGCTGGGATTTTTAGGTGTACACCACCATGCCTGATGCATCCTTTTCCAAAAATTTGGTAACTGTTTAATTGGTTTACTGTATTGGTTTCTCCATTCCATTTCCTTTCCTACTTACACATTCTAGTGTTTATTTTCATTTTAACTATATGAATATATATATAATATATATATTTGGCATAATGTTTATCATATATATGATTAATTATAGTCCCTTTATACATCATCTCTCATAATCATCTTTTGTTTCTTTATAGTGCTGGAGATCAAACCCAGGGCCTTTGCACATGCTAGGCAAGCGTGCTAACACTGAGCTACATCCTTAGTCCCATAAACACACCTTTTGTGTAGAAGAGCACCTGAAATCTACTCTTTTGGCAAAACTTCAGTATACAAAACAATATTATTAGCTAGAGGCTTCAGGTTTACATTAAATGTCTAGATATATTCATCCCAGGGGCCAGGGAGATAGGTCAGTAGACTAAGCACTTGCCTGGCAAGCGCAAGGTCCTGAGTTCAATCCCTGGTACCACAAAAAAAAA